ATCCCCAGAACGAACCCCTTCCCCCACAATGACCACCAAGTTAATGCAATCCTGAGATCATCCTCTGTTGCCAAAGGACAATTCAAACAGGCAAGAGATGAGAAAGCCCAATCATACCCAGGACGCAGTCCCATCTTGCGTAGAGCCTCCCAGAGGACAGCTGCAATGGGAGGCAAGAGGAGACAAGGCACAGAAAATGAGCATGGAAATCAGGCTGTGGACAACCCCCAGCTGCAAGTGCAGCTACTCACCCTCACTGGCACGATTGCCATTCATGAAGATGATGCCCAGAATCACTAACAGGAGACCCAGCTTGGGTGTATCTTTGGTCCTAAAGGAGTACAAAAATAATGTATTTTCAGCAGCCATTTGCAAAAGCACACCCCAGCCAGTTTACCAGTCTAACTTCTCCAATACTTTCAGCTAGGGGAAAATTATATCCCAGCTCTACCCATGACCTCCTATGTAACACTAATACCTGGACCTTGACTTTCTTGGAACTTCTACAAATAAAGCATCACTGAGAAAGGCCATTTTCCACCTCCCTTCCCATCTTACGTTCCCAGTATGCCAGCCAGGGACTCTGGGGTACTGATGAGAATATACAGGTGTTCTTCCTTGTCAATTTCCTTCAGTTGAATCCCAAATTTCTACAAGGGAAAGAAAACAGACTATGAAATTATAAAACCTAACATAACCTACCCATATCCAGTAACTCAGCTCCCAATGAGACTGGTCCTAAACACCTAGTATGAATCCATGATTCTTTCAGGTCCCTCATAGTTGCCTTCTTACCTTTTCCAGGACAAAGCATGCACGTTCAATGATTTCTGGATAAACATCAGTGTATTCTCGGATGATATCCCTCAGCATTTCTGTAGGAGAGAAGAGGGAGAATTTGAACTGAGTTGGGGCCACGCAGCAGTAGTCCCCTTTTTCCAGCCCTACTGTGAGTAGCATAGCCAAGGTCCTCAAGGTTGGAAAAGGAAGAACCAGTGAAGCAAGG